CTGCTTCTCGCTGTCCTGCCCCGGTCGGTTCCGTTAACTCCGGTGTGGTTGTCCCCTGTGGATGCTCCAAACTGTCCTATCTATGCTGTTCTGCCGATATCGTCTCTGTACACCCTGACTTGCCTTCCTCCAGCTCCTCCCTACCCAACCTGGGAAGAAAAACACGGGGGAAAGCAGAATTCCATCTTGCCAGTGCCATCTCTTGCAGCTGGTGTGTGTTCAGCAGAGGTCTTTTTTACATCCTGCCTTCACTTTTGCCTACAAGTGTAAAAAAAAGTTGAGAGGCAATATTTATCAAACAGAAATCCTTACTTACATTTTGATGGTTTAGTGAAGTCCCCAGACTCCACAGTGGAGACTGGACTTAAGGGTGCAGTGGGAACAGAACAGGCTGGGAGGGAAAGGGGGAGGAGGAAGCTTCAGTTCTTCATTCAGAAACTGGACGGAACAACCCCGAGAGAGGAGGAACCACCACACTCTTTTTTTTTCCACCCTCTTTCCGTGACATTCTCAAAAAGGTCATGTTCCATTTCAGCCTAAGGCACAGGACTGACTCACTTTCCTTGTGTTTCTGGAAAAAGCCATTAATCTGTTCTACCTTTTTATCTTCTTCTGGAAGAGCCTGTTTTGTGCAGTGATCTTTTAGCCACTTACCTGCTTTGTGTTTCTACTGTGACCAGAGGCAAAGGGAAAATACTGTGTTATCATGTCGGAGTTCTGGCTGATTTCTGCCCCTGGAGATAAAACAAACCTGCAGGCATGGGAGAGAATTACCACCGTGACGTCTAAATCCAACCTGTCCAGCAACAGCAAATTCCATATTCCAGACCTAAAGGTAAACAAGGAAAGGGTTTGGGTATGGGTGGCACAGCAGCATTAGCCAGGATTAGAGAGTTTTGGAATAAATGTGGGATTTAACTTTTTTGGGATAATATGCAGAGAGCAGAAGATTGCAGTCAGGGCATGCATTGTGTTCAGTCAACTGAAAATTGATCAGAGAGAAAAGGAGTCATTGTGCTTGAAGCTGACCTTCACACTGGAAGGATACATGCGTAAGGAGTGAAGATGACCAGTTAAATAACTGATTTGTTGCATTTGATGTTCCATTTGCTCCTAGTCGTCAAAGTCATACAGCATTTTACATGTTTGCTCAATAATGCAACAGGAGTAGTTAAGTATCTTGGACGGTGCCAGTAAGACTGCTGACAGAGAAAACAGTGCTACAATGCACATTAGTCCTTGGGAAATGGATGTCTCTGTATATTCAGCTTCATTACCCAGCTTCATATCACCATATAAATAGGAAGAGTATTAATCAATGATTTTAAAAAATATCTATACATCGTCTAATCCTTCTTCTATAAGATCTGTACCTTTTTTTTGTTTCGTTTGTGGCTATGAAAAATCCAAGTATGCTGCATTAAAGTCAATGGAACTACCACAGATGAAGGGCTTGGTTCCCTGGGGAGTTGCCTTCACCCTTCACTTAACAAAGCTACACGTAGTGCATCCAGGGTCTGGCTTTAATCAAAAAAGACTGTTAACCATTATAACTTGAGCTATCCCAATTACATAAGGATGCGAGCAAGAGGGAATCATGTTCTCAATTAATAGCCTACTGCATTTTCACAGGGATGCTTCCAACTGAGAACACTGCTTTTTGCATGTGCACCTGAGATTTCTAGGTTTTCCAGCCATGGGCCTTAGTCAGTGTTGGTGTGAGTCCTTTAATGTCAAAGGAAATAAAGCATTTGCAGTACCTGAGGATGCAACCAGTCTATATTCTGCTCATTGTTCTATGTAAAAGTAGTTTCTTCTCCTTCAGCTTAACCCTTCATAATGTCAAGCTGGCAACATTACAAGAAAGGCTTCAGTACTAGATTGCAATACCATAAACATAAGACTATGACTGTCACAGAGAGTCATACAAAAAGCAGATGTTGGTCTTTGAGGAAATGGCTTGGGAGAGGCTTAGTCTTTGGTAACAGCAAAGAATGTAAAGAGACCCCCCTTTGAGTAAGTGCTGTTTTGCTTGGTTCTCTCATTACATCAGCTTTGTTGGGATGTATATTGTGTGCATTTCTAGTCATGAATTTGTCATGTAACAGACCAGTCTATACTACTTGATACAGGAATGAAAGCAGAAGGAAGACACTAATGTGTAATCTTGAGACTACACGTGTTTTTTCCTTCATTGGAAAAAGCTTTTTATGCTCTAAATCTCGGCTAAAGAAGGAATTGCCACTATTTTCCACTAAGTAAATAAAGTTCTGCCAACAGAAGCCTTAGACAGACTTGTGCATCTTTCACCTACTTCTTCTCTTTTGCACAGGTGGGGACACTGGATGCTCTTGTTGGTCTGTCAGATGAGTTGGGAAAACTTGATAGCTTTGCTGAAAGGTAAAATAGATCTTATTTACTACCTACAAATGAGACACAGACATTGTTTTTATAGGGTGGAATGTCCTTGTGTTCACCTTGGTCTGACTCAGTTCAGCCTCGACTACAACTGGACTGAAGTGGATAGGCTTTCTTTAACCCTTGTTTTGATTGTCATAGAGTCAACACAAAAAGAGGGCCATTCCTTTAAATTTGGATTAATTAAGTCAGTAATAGTTCTGTCTGCACAGCAATCTGAGTGGCAGTGTGGAAGAGTATTCTTTAATAGGAACTGCTAAAAAAGATTCCTTCTTTGGTTGTTTTTTTTTGTTGGGTTCTCTGTTGTTTTTTTTAAAGAATATTGTCCTGCCACACCCAGAAACTTAAATTGCTAAACAACATCTGGAGTGTCTGAAGCCCCCCCACCTTATTTTCTGAGAATATTTCTCTTGAGCCTTCTGCCCCTTTTCAGCCAGATATTCTTTTCAGCCAGATACAGGAGTTCTAAGGAAGAAGCTCTTCTGAATGAAATCTGGAGCTCTCTCCCCCTCAGACTTAAACTCCTTGAAAATCAGAATATTGACTCACATTGTATCAAATCTACTTATGCAGAAAACTCACATGATCTCCTTGCTGATCATTGCTCAGTTTGCCTTTTGGGCCAAACTGGCTCGCTTGACCGAAGGATATTATAATACAGCAAGCTGAGAAAATGCCAGGTTGTAAGATACTTCATGGCACAAAGTAGACTTTGTTGCTGAGGCAATGAAAGTCTAAGCTGCTGGGGTTTTATCAGTTTGTTTTTTCTTTGGCAGCATACCTCACATGTAGTTGTGGTTTTGGTCACAGAGGCACAAAGAGACGTGTCAGCTCTGAAGCTTTTTGACACTTTTTGACGCTTTTTGACACTTTTTTTCCCAGCTAAGAATGATAAGGATTTGCTTGTCTAAATATGCTTAATACTTTCATACGTTTTGTCTGGTGGCTGCAAAAGCATGCAGAAACACTGATATAAGCTGTGTACATCTATGCAGTTTGAATAACTTTTTCTGTAATATCTTTCTCTGTAGGGTATTTTGTTTTACTTTATTGGTACTACAGCGAGTCTGTATTGGGATGATTAATTACATTTTATTACTCAGGGTTACATACAATGATGATCTCCTTAAAATCACTTTTTCAGGATTTTTAGCAAGACAGAGCAATTTAATATTTAATTAATCAAGAAAATCTTCGCTGTGACCCTCTCCATGTGGTTGTGAAAACTGCTTCAAATTCTTTGTAAATATGTTCAGACCTGTGGTTCACGGATCTTTCATGCTGGAATGTAGTGGAAATGGGGGAAAATTGGAGGAGGGACAGTGCAAATACCTGCTATCTGTTCTAATGGAAGGCGTCTCTACTGAAGGCAGCAGGTGATCAAGCAACTGTAATCTGGGTTTGCAGCCTGCCCCAAAACCATGCAAAACTGATTTTCAGAAGAGCTTTACTAATTCCCAGATTTCTAAGGAATTAGCACTTCTGAAAAGCCATCTGTAGGATCTATGTGAGATCAGGAGGGTAGTTTTAAGTGAAATGCCAATACAAACTCCCTAGGCTCACTGTCTCCTTCTGTTACCTTTGTCTTAACTCGACAACATGGTACAGCTCCTTGTTCAAGCTGAACGCTACTTTACTCCACTAATTGTCCCTTTAATGCCATTAATGACTCCTGGCACTGAGCAAAAGGGTCAGCAAGCCCTTTCCCTGCCACTGTAACCTGCTGAGGTAAGGACCCTTCCCATTTGTCCAGTTAGGTAATCAGAAAGGACCAGCTAGATTTAGGAATACAAAAAAAGTATTGAAAAATATGTTAAAAAGTAAGAAAAATGTGTTAGAGTAATAGCAGAGAATAATCAACAGACAGCAAGTCCCACGAGGACATACAAAAGCATTTTGTGTTAAATAAATGCCCAGGGTTTCGAGTCTACATTGTGATTCAAGGGTTAAAATGCCAAGCACTTGCACTTCGTGTAAGTAAATGGCATCCAGAGGGTTACGAGCCTGTTCAATGACCTGAGCATTTAGCTCCTGCTCCTCTGAAAAAGCCACCTGCTGAA